GAGAGGACTCAGTTTAGTGTAGAATGTTGTCCACAATGATTGATTATAGTTTCAATATTCATTGAGAAAAGAAAGTTAGCAAGTGCTTATTAATGTATTTAGTTAAGATATGAATACTTTGAAGAGACTTCATTCGTACACTGCTTATTTTGTCCAACGAATATATATAAGAGAACGACTAGTCATCAAAGTCATCTACTAGTCATCTACTCTTGCATATATAATACATGATACCTGCGTGTAATGAGCGAATATTGGTAATGGGTCGATTGATGATAACGTCAGGATAATTTCTTGTAAATAGGGCAAGAATCTTGGAGAAAATTTATCGTGTTAAAACTTCGCTAAAAATCGCTTAGATGCTGGAGATCTCAGTTTATGCTGGAGAGTAGTAAATGGGTATGCCGTTTATGCTAGAGGTTATTAAATGGGAGAGCCATTTATGCTAGAAAAAAAGCCGTTTATGCTTGACAGCCTTCCTGGATAGACAAATTATGAAAGAGAAAGAGGCGTTTATGCTGGAGAGTAGTAAATGGCTGTGCCGTTTATGCTACAGGTTAATAAATGGCTCAGCCATTTATGGTAGTAAAGTCGCCATTTATGCTGAAGAGTCTCTCCTAGAACGCATTTTTTCTTCCCACGATAGGGAGCCATTTATTCTAGAAATACTGTGGGTAAGCCATTTATGCTAGAAACGGTGCAATTTATTTATCTAGTAATAAATTGTAACTGCTGAGATCACATCGGTAAGTCTTGGTCTATTTTAATAATTTCTTGTAAATAGGGCAAGAATCTTGGAGAAAATTTATCGTGTTAAAAACTTCGCTAAAAATCGCTTAGATTTTCGCGAAAACCGAATTTTTTAGAAATCATATGGGGGGCGATTTTGATCACGGCGAGTGATTACGTAGTCATACTTGTACACTCCTTGTACGTATATCACGTAGTCATACTTTCACACCCCTTGTACACATATCACGTAGTCATACTTTCACACCCCTTGTACACATATCACGTAGTCATACTTGTACATATATACCCGTACACATATCACGTAGTCATATTTGCACAAAATGATGTTCATAAATTGCGTGTGCACTATAGGGGGTAGTTTTTTTCTCTGATAAAAAAGGTGGAACGGATGTGTATTTTTACATGTGATTAAAGAAATATTTTGAGCTTTGTCATTTTTTGGTTTAGAAAATGTTTTTGGAGAGAATGTTTTGGAGAGCGAGAGACCGGAAGTGTGATTAAAAGGTTTTGGGCAACAAATGATGAAGATAACGATAAAAAGGAGGAGGAAATAGGAACCTATTTCCTCCTGCTTTGTTGAAATAAATAAACTGTTACTAGAGTGTGTATGTGACCTTGCCGCTTAATGCTGCATTGTGTCCGAGTTGCATTTGAATTAACTGTTGGGTTGTTGTACGTGCTGATTATTGTTTGTGGTGCATGGTTGAAGCTGTTTTCCCTTGTTTGTTTTGGTGGTCATCTAAAATTAGTAAGAAGAATTCGGCAGCACACTAACATGCTAACATGCTTTAAATTCTGTCTGGTGGAGGACGGAGGATTTGTTTGGATGGTTTCTTATGAACAAGCATTTGAGTTAAATTTTCAGTCGGAATACTACTTGGTTGTGGGATTGCTGCTTTTGGAGAGTGGAAATTGCATGAAAAACTTGGGGATCTGTTCGCTGCTTACAAATTTGTTTTTTCAACTCATACGCTACTCGACTGGCGAAGGTGTCAACTACAGGACGAGGAATATCAGGGGCGCGAATTTCCTCGTTCAAACGGGTTTGGATTTTGCGGCGCATTACCTCAATCTCGGAGGGGAGGCGACGGAGTGCTGTAGTTGGGTTAGGTTCGACGTATGCTGGACCCTTGTTTAATATATCTCGTTGAAAAATATCCAGGTTGATAGCGTAGTTTTTTACCTGGGGTGGGAAGGAAATTGTGGTGAAATGCGGATGAGGGTGAGTTTTCGAGTGAGGGGCATATGGAACCGAAAATTAAAGTCTATCGCGGACAGGTTATGCAGAAAGACGAATTTAAGAAGTTGTTCGAACGAAGTAAACTGATGTTTAAAAGTGATCGAATTGTAATAGATAGTCTGTTTTCAACATCCCTCAACGCTGAAACGCCGCGTCACTTTATTCGACAATCCATTGTTTCTGAATATCTACAGAAAGTTGTATTTCAAATTGACATCGACGTACGTCATCAGACGCGTCCATTTGCCAATGTCTCATCCCTGAGCGCTTTTCCTAAGGAAGATGAAATTCTATTTATGGTTGGTGCATCATTTGATATGGAAAAAGGTGATATATGGTATGATGAAAATGAAAAATTTTGGATAAGCAAACTCTTTTTAAGACGTGATAATCTGTTGAAAGATGATCGAGACTTTGAATATACGACCATGAGTAAGAGAAGATGTTTGAAGAACTGTGTCAGTGCACTACCATATGACCTATATAATGCGTCAGTTGAAGATATAAACATTCTTTTTGATACGCTGATCAACGATTTATTTCCATCGGAAAAATTTATTCTGGGCGCTAAATTCTATTGTCTAGGTTATCATTACGCAAGTTATGCAAAAAAAGATTAGAAATTAGCATTATCCTATTATGATCAAGCATTGAAAGTCTGGAATACATATCTGAATGATGTTGAATTAAATTCTTACATTAACGTAGCACAGATTCACCGATCTATGGGACGTGGATGTTATCACTATGGTTTGAAAGACTTGACGTTGGCTAATAAACACTATGATTTAACTATTGAAACTTATCAGTCAGCATTGAACAAAGAATCTGCATACATGAACTATGCACAAATGAATATTCTCTATGAAATATCTATGATATACAGGGTGGCCCATAAGTCCTGATACGATTTGTATAATAATTTTTCTAAAGTAAAACACATGTTTGTAAATTTCTCTCTATGATGAAAAGACGCAGTAAAACACGCTCTACAAAATAGCTTTTGAT